TTTTAAAATTTCTACATTTTCGTAGTATATATACTTGCAACTTTTCTTCAGTCCTAAACTTATGAAATATACGCAAATCACTGATAAAATGTTTTCTACCCGAAGTTTTTTGTGATCACACAGCTAATATCATCATATTCAACCCAATACAGCTTTGTTCAATCATTCGCCTTTAATTAAGCATTGCATTACTGAATGAAATGGGAAAACGAATCAAAATGACCTCAAAATGACAAGAGATGTCAGATTTGATTTATAGATAACCCTAAAATATCTAATATAAGCTGTCCTTGCCATGAACGGTTCTATAAATGTGGATAAGTGGATAAAGAAGACTGATATAATGCGCATTATGAATGACCGCTTTGCAATTGACCATCCCTTCTCAGCTTATAATTAACGAACCTAAATCTAATTCCAAAAACTATGAAGAGTGATGTAAAGAAGAAAGTCTGCGAATTTCAGGAATGCGTCTCAATTACTGAGCAACATATATTTGAAATGTTCATTCAGGGTAGGATTTTATATTTCACTCAAGTTATTGTATGAAATTTATTACAGTGACAGAAATATGAAAATTTTGAAAAATTCCAGAATTAATCCCAAAATTTACATTTTTAAAAAATCGAAAGAAGGAAGAGAAAAGAAATGAGACACATTCACATTAGCATTGAATTGAAATTAAAAATCTCAGCATTAATAATTTTTATTTCTTTCAATCGGAAAACTTATTGCTTACAATCCTAATAACAAGAAGGATAGTAATGTTCCGTACTAAATTATAATCTTTCGAATAGTCACAATGTATTAACTATTAGAATAATGAAAAGTTTGGTGAGTTCTACAAATTTCTTGCCTGATCGTTTTCGAATGAAATTATTGTATAATGTAACAGATATTTTAAAACTGGTAATAAATATTACTCCGTTGGGGTTAAAGATATGGCTTATTGCAAACAAATGTTATTGAAAACTTCGAAATTTTTAAAGTGGTTAGCTAATAATCAAGCAATTACAAAAGATAACCGGATTTACCTACGACCGGAAACCGGGATGATAAGTTTAATTATTCTGAATTTATATCATCACAATGTAAAGAATTTAATGTTACTCACACATGTCACCCTATCACAGATTTTCCTTTCGCGGGAGTTATTTAATCTACGGATAGCATTGCTTCAATTTCTCGAATCGGCACTAACAAATCACCATCATAAGTTTTTAATTTTTGATTTGGTGATCATTTTGTGATGAAATTCCTTCGAGCAGTTTTTATTTCACTTCGATAAGCAACTTATCAAGCAACTAAAACGACTAGCGATGATGCAAACACGATGTTCTAACTTGCATTCCTATCTTATTTTATCTTTCGCTATTACAAAATTTCAAGATAGGTACAAAAGCGTCGAAGACATTACCATTGGTTTTGATTGCTCTGCAAACATTTCTAGAGAAGACCAGTTCTTTTTGAAGTTGCTCATCAAATCTCAAGTATTAGCTCAATCAGTTAGCATCTTCCATTAGCAACATTGCTGTGCTATTTCTTCTTATCCCATTCACGAAATTTCAAAGTTTTCTAACTAAGCTTCAAATTTTCAATATCTTTCAACTTCAATATGCTTCCAAACCTGAATTTTTGTTTTCAAGAATCCAAATTTGGATGAAGTATGGGATCAAATTCATGTTGTTCAATAACTAAATTCTTTTAGTACGAAGATGGAAGAAGGAATGAGACGATGGAATTCGGAAGTAGAGAAGGAGACAAAATTGGAAATTTGTCCCGAAATGGTGAAAAACACTCGTTACGGTGGCGCACAGGGTGAAGATGATGACACGGAAGCTGTAAACAACAATTTGCAAATTTACAATTCAATAGTCCCTCTTAATTAATTATATCATTTATCTATTTGATTGGTAATGAAACTCATTAGTGATTTCTTTTGGAAGGCCAGTGAAGTAATGCTACCAAATTTTAGGTAAAGAAAGCAGCAGAAGAGAGAGCACGTAAGAAAGCAGAAGTAAGGAAACGTCTAGAAGAGGCTAACCGTGCCAAGAAAGTCAAAAAAGGTTTCCTCACTCCGGAAAGGAAAAAGAAACTTCGGGTAATCTTTTGTAATATCAAAACTTGAGGTTGAAATCTTTCTCGAATTTTAAAGGATATTTACTGAAGAATTGAAGGGAATTTTTTCTTAATAGATGAGAAAGATTGATTGTATACTGCAGAAATTACTGATGATGAAAGCGGCGGAAGATCTGAAGCAGCAACAGATGCTCAAAGAGCAGGAAAGACAACGTGTCTTACAGGAACGCATCTTGCCTTTACCGGATCTGGATAACATTCCTGATGGTTTGATATTTGACACTCTGTAGTGGAATTAATAACAGCATTTTTCGCTTAAGGATTCACATGCAAATGCATGCATCCAAAATCGTGATATACACATCACCGCGTACGGACAAAAGGACATCCTAAGATGATCCATAAATCCTGAACAAACTGCATTGCATTGTTTGAATTCCGGACATTAGCAAACAAATGAAAAGAAATATTAAATGGTTGGAATTGAAATTTAAATCATAAAATTTATTGAAAGCATGTTTTTCAAGTGCGAAACTTGAAAAAAGCAACAACTTTTAGTTGTGAAATATTTGAGAAAACAGTAACAATAAACAAAGTGAAAGATGTGCTTTTGGTTAATTAGTAGGTGTGTTATTGAAATTAATTTTGTGTTGGCACTAGGGATTTCTAAACATGCTGCAAACATAGTTCCCAATATGTTTTCAGAAAAATACTTAACGAAAATGCCATCTTATAAAAAACATAAACTGTTAGATAATCTAAAACAATCACACATGAGCGAACGCGGAAGAACAGCACATACTGGATACCATTGTCATTTAAGTAGATGATATAAGGTGACACTTTTCTCAACAGTATACAGTAAACGATAATGAGTGCTGTTACTTTGAAAAAGAAATAAAATGAGGAATTCTGTCATTGAAATACGATTAATTTATTGTAATAACTGCAGAAAAGATGACCAAATACGACTCTGTCCTGACTTTCACTGATATCTTTCTGTTGTGATCACTTCCACTTCTCCGTTTACTCCCATTTTGGTTATAGTCTTTTATGTATTTTATTTTGTTTGCATATTGATTAGTCAAAATAACAATTAGTGTGACAAGCATATGGCGTTACTTTTAATATATTCGATCAATAGGATGATCCCAAAGGGTTACTATTTGCAGAGGTGAACTAGCAATCGTTCTCCAAGATCACTAAGTAAATCTACGCATATTGAAGATCTAGCAAGCTCCAATCATCGAATGATAACATTTTAGTTTTCTTGGAATATCGGGAATGATATTTAATTTGTTCAGAAGAACTGGAAGAAATTGCGAAGAGGATGGCTGAAAGGCTGTTGCAACTGGAAAATGAACACTATGATATTAATTATGCTGTACGTCAGAAAGATTTCGAAATCAATGAATTAACTATTTCAGTTAACGATCTAAGGGGCAAATTGTGAGTTATTATGTTTTTTTTCCAAATGAATTTTTCTAAATTAAATTAAATTCGAAATTGTTCGTTTAAAATTGGTTTGCACGCATATTTATCGTTAGAAGGCTTGTAAATTATTTTCATGTTTCACAAATAATTCCTATTTGCAGTGTAAAACCAACTCTTAAGAAGGTATCCAAGACGGACACAAGGTTGGCATTATCATTTTTCATACTGTTTTATTATTTCAGCAAAGACATCCAACACATTGCTTCTAAATCAATCAGATTTACATGAAGAAAATGAAGCAGGAACTAGAATTAGTTCAGTAATTTTGACCTATTTTAAAGTGGTTTTGCAAGTAAATCATATCCGTACAAATAATGAAAGATCAATTTATTTAACGAATTGGAAAGTTTTAGGTTCAGTAAGCTGAAGAAGAAAGATCAGAAGAATTTTATCGATTTCCGCACCAACTTGAAAAATGTTGAAAATAATAAATTCACTCTAAAAGAGGTTTGTTTCTTTGAAATTTCTAAGCTTTACATCTCATGGAAATGAAAGAATGTGGGAAAATGTTCGTATAGCCTTATCCTACTGATTCTTTATCATTCAATCTTCTCGGTGTTTTGAGACCCAAACATGTCTCATGCAATCACATTTTTGAATTCATTAAAAATGAAGTACAACTTGGATATGATCAGATTATTCAGTGCATGAAGTTGGAGGTATCGGAGAAATAATTTAATAAATCTTTGCTTCAAAGACTGCGATAAAAATTTGTGGGGAATTGAATTGAAATATTTAAACTACGAAGTATTTTACAACTTCCAAATCTTTAGTTGATAGAATAAGCTTCTATTAGCAATAGCTAATAAAGATAACATTGTTTGATTCTGAAGTACACTGCTACTTCTCATTTAAATTAGGTTTTATCATTTTTTCTTTTTCAAATAATGGATATATATTTCACAAAATTGTTTGTCATCTCTTTGCGCACAAGAATATCTTTGAAAGTAAACGGGTATTTTTGTGTTGGCATTATATTTCGGTGCAAAAATAATTTCACTGTTTTTACTTTGCAACGGAGAGTGTAAAAATTTCAAACCGTGTGTACTTCTCCATTGGTCATTGACTGGTCATTATTGAGTCCATCGAAACTATCTAGTGGCATATATGCAAAACATATAATAGGAGCATTTTCGAGATATCTTTGTTTGCCACTTTATCTAGAAGACGAAAGGTAGCAGCTAATCATCGGATGGTCGCCCTGTTTACTTTTTCGATTGGTGTGGTTGGATTAATTTCATCCATAACTACCTCAATAATTTAAATGAAAGTGTAATTTTTACAGGAGAGGAAAGAATCCACTTTTGGTTGGAAGAAGTGAAAATCTATACTTCGCCCCTGACACTATTATTCTTTATGGTTGATGTGACTAAGTGATATGGAGTTGCTTAAAACGATTTCAAAACAAACCTCATGATAAAAAAACAATTTAAAATTGCAGAAAGCAATAAGTATACTCAGCAAACATATCAGCAGTGAAGAACTTCCCCTTCTAGTAGATCAGACTTGTCGATTTTAAGATGATTCAGTGTAAGGTTCTAATACTATTAACTATCCACTGAAATTCCGAAATTAAGCGCATAGGCGGAAACATTGAAGTGGAAATTTCAGTGCTGCTTACCAACACCATCGAAATGCAAGAAAAGTTTCCCTCATTCAGCGAATATGAACACATATAAATGCGAACATGAACACATATGAATACCAGTGTGAAGCTGCACAGTTGTTCGATATACAAGAAAAATTTCTCAGGTCAGATGCGCAAAACGTATAGTTCCACTGAATCTGAATATTAGACCGTTCTAGGCCGATAATTTTTGCCTCTAGCTAACTGTTAGGAAACAAATACTAATTAACGACAATAAAAAGCTTGTCAAATGCTGTCAAAGAAATTCATGTCAGCTACAGGACAAGTAAACTTCACTTATTTCATGAAAAGCTCAATATCGATCAGAGCAACGGACCATGCTAAGTAACATTTACAATATGGATGGGTACTGGTTGATCTTCTTACAAGTTTATGCAACTTCCAGATACATCGCCAGTTCTGCTGGTCAGCTTCAAAGTATTTCCAGTTTAATATACTTCTATTTCATCATATTATAACCATCCTCCATTGTTGCTACAAGTATGAACTACTCTTTAACAAAAATCCAGCAAATGCTTAGCATTTTCAGTTAATACGTTTCAGTTGGACTGATTTTCTTCTCTTTAATGGATTAAAATTGAAAAGGATGAAAAAAACTATATTGTTCATTATTCAGAGATACCTACTATTTATATAAATGACAGTATAAACGATGATGATTTGAGTAAATTATATGAAAACATGCATAAAGAATATAAACTAAATAAATGTTATGCTAACATAGAGTTATCTGCTCGTACTAAATCAAAAAAATAAGAGACCGAAGTACTACATATAACAAAGAATTAGAGGTTGGTAAAAGTCAATAAAAAGCAATACACTCAATCGATAGCAAAAAAAAAAAAAAAAAAAAAGAATATT